GAACAGCATTGGCTTGGCTCGCTGTCCTAGCCCCACCACAAGGCACAGCGGCTACAACACGGCAGACGCTCACAGTTTGGGGAATGAAAGAATGGAGGAGGAAAGGGCACGATCTCGTGGGATGCCAGTGACACCTTTGGGTGGCAAGTCAGAGCTGGGGGGGGTGTGTCCTATGCAGAATGCTGTGACGGGAGAGGCACCAACGAAGACATGGCTGCAAGCACGCAGGGGACGCTGGGAGCGTAGCGTGAGTTCTGGCAGGCACCAGATGCCTTGTAAACATCTGAAGGATGAATAAGGCAGGCACGCCATTCTCATGACTGACTTCTTCTTCAAAGTACCGCAGGTGATGCCCTCTAAGGAGCATGTCACTGGTATTTTACCTGCTCGTCTCACAAAACCCATAACCAACTCCCCGAGGCCGGTGCCTCAGAGCAGGGAAAGCCACTTGCACCAAGTCATGGCCAGTAAGTGAAGAAACGGCTGGGCCCCGGGACGTGGGTGCCGCATCTCAGCCCTTTAGCATCAGGCGAGGTTGCCTTTGTGACCCAGGCCAGCAGGAAGGGGGCTGTGGATGGGATGAGCAGTTATCGTGAGGTTGGCTGAGGGGTGGGTGTGCCCTTGCAGCGCTGTATGGATTTAGAACACAGCCAGGGTAATAAGACATACTCATATGTCCTATTAGACACGTGTCACTCGGGAGGGGATCTGGCCCTCGGAGAAGGAGAGTGAGTTCAGCGGAGCTTCAGGTTATGTCATGGGGAAGCCAGTGAACTCTTCGCAATCCAACCGACTTATCGTGTATCAGGAGGAGACCCACACCGAGTGCCCTAAATCAGGGGTCTGAGTTTCAGAGTGGTCCCTAGACTGTCAGCACCACCTTGAGACACCTGTGCTTTCTATGGACGCAGAAACTCTATGGATGGAGTCTGGCCACCTGTGACTTAACAAGCCCAGCAGGTGACTCTGCTGAGGCTTATGTTGGAGAACCACTGCCTTAAATCTTCATTCCTGGAGCGGAGCTTCCCAAGCCTGTATCACGGGGGCCTCCAATGGGTTACAGGTGCGGTGGTCCCCTTGGCCCAGCAGGGGGCGGGTACGTGTGTCAGGAAGTGAAACCGTGTTGGAAAGCACTGCCTCAGGGAAAACCTAGGAACTTCTCACTGAGCCTTTAAAAGCGTGGTCACCACCACACAGTAAGGCCGTCCTCACTGTAACTGCACGACACCACTCTTCATTGAATGTCCACAACGGGCTAAGCACTCTCTATTTTTGACTGCTGACCTCTCACCACCACCACATGAATTAGTGACATCATTATCTTATTTTACAGATATGGATACAGGGCTGAGAGCTGTTAATGAGAGAAGTTCAAGGTGCTCAGTTAAGGAGGCCTAAGTGGGATATACAGCCTGGGGTGTCGCTCCGATGTTCCGAGTCAAACATGGCCCTGTAGGGTTTCTGGGACTTCTCTAAGTCCTTAGGGGACTAGACAGGCTCATCCACGCCCAGCCCCACCCTGGTGGGTTGAAGTCACTGACCTGTCAGGTGAGTAGCCTAACATCTCTCTGCCAGCACCCCCAGGGCTCCGTGGTGTGCGTGCTAACAGTGCTTTCTATAGTTCAAGGGAAGGCTACTCCTCCTCCCTCCCTACCATTTGTTGAAAGACTTCTCTGTGTCAGGCACTATGTCTACATTACAGACTTCTAACGCCTTTGAACGTTAACATTATTTTCATTTTATAAAGGAGAAGCGAAGCTCAAAGAAGTGACATGACATTCTCAAGGCCACACCGTCTGGCCAGTGGAACGCAGCAGGGTGGCTCCTCCCCGCATGCTCTCCACCCCAGGACAGAGAGCCTCCAGGATAATGTGGCCTGGAGGCTCGCACTACAGAGGAGGGGGTTGGGGGGCCCTCTGCCCTTCCCAGTCCAGTTTCCTGCTCACACCTGCCAGCCCCAGGCTTGGCCACAGGGCCCCCAGCACAGAAGGCAGGCATGTGTGGCGGCACCGTGGCCGAGGCAGGGCTCTGGCTTACAGCTGCCTGCGGACGGACGCATTCTTCGAGGCACACATCATCGCACACTGGGGCCTCTTTCTGTGGCCTGTCCCCAGGCCGTGGGGCCCTCAATAAAGGCAGCTCCCCCAGGAGACGGGACAGGGAAGTTCCTTGTCCAGGACGGCAATTGCTCTGGAGGCGGTGTCACCTCTCCCATCTGTGGTGCTTGTCGGATGCCCGAGCATATGTGGGGGGATGCTGGGATTCTGACTCGAGGATGGAATGAGAAACGCTTAAACAGTACAGACAGAATTTTTCCACATGTGAGTGTACACACACACACACACACACAGAGCTGGAGAGTATGCATACCAGTGGGGCTTATATGGCAGCCTGAGGCTTATGTGTGCACAGAAAACACACTCTACTCCTGCATTGATCTAGCTCTGCAGAAAGGACGGAGGACATTACCCTCTTTGCAACCCCATCCTTCCCTCACAGGGCTATCCACACAGACTGCAACACTGTAACCTTCTCAAGCGTACAGGTGGGAGGTCTCCATCAAACACCAGTCAGGCTTGGAAGACTCCATCATTGTATGCGTCTGTAGTTCTTAGAGGGGCCTGGCAATTACTCAGCTCTTCCAGTGGCTGCAGAGATCAAGGCATTTGGACAGAGCAACTGCAAAGTCATCAGCAGGCCTTGCCCTCATAGTATGCTGACCCCCCTCTTCAGGGGCGGAGAGGAGGATAGAGGCTGTTGGGGAGTGGTAGGTAGAAAGCAAGGTGATGCATCACAAAGTGGTGGCAGCCAGAGACCAGGAGCCAAGCTCTCCCTTTTAAAAAGAGACATGGAGCTCTTTGAGGGGAACGAATCCTATTTTATTCAGACTGCAACCCCAGGACGCAGAACAAAGCAGTTCAAAGTAACTCTAAAAACTCTAAAACTCTAAAAACTAAGCTCACCAATAAAGGAGTGACCTGGGATTCGTCATCATTAAAAACAAACTACATTCACTGTTACCCAGGTGCTTCCGACTCAGAGTGATCCTACAGAACAGGTGACACCTGTCCCTTTGGGTGTTGAGACTGTCACTCTTTACGTGAGTCAACAGCCTCCCCTTTCTAAGAAACATGGGTTCAAACAGCTGACCTTGTGGTTAGCAGCCCCGTGTGTCACCCACGGCATCCCCAGGGCTCCTTCAAAACAGCACCCCAGAAATAACCAACTGCTCCCCAAAGGGACGGATCAATGAAGACGTTAGAATATAGTTGCTGACTCTGACTGTCTCAGAACGAAGGACGATTAGAGCCAGGCAGAAGGCCAGACAAGGGGTTCTTCGACACGTTTTTGTGGGTGCGTTCTGCAGACACTTGTGGAGGGGGCTGGGATTGATCTAGGCTGGACATTAAGCCCAGAGGGCCAGCAGCCCCTGAGTCTGGTGTAGTCGTGCCTGCTGGCACGTGATACACCCCTTCTTTTCTTGATGTTGGATTTCTCTAGTTAAGGCCAGAGCTGGCTTTTAGGGGCTAAATCTTCCTCAGAATAATCTGAACCCAAAGCGGACACGTGTCGATCATGGACGTTTGAAGTTAACTCCACTTGGCTGCTTTAAAATTACAGATACTATTCCCCACACTATTTTCCTTTTAAGCTAAGGTAAGACAAACAAATTTTAAAAGGCCCAAAGAAACCCAAGTCTCCTTTGGAGAGCAGATAAGTTAAAATGAGAAAAGGCTGACCCACAGCTTTTATCGGTGGCCGCTTGTCGCTGGGAGAGAGAAGACCTACACAATTTGGGGTGCGGGGTGGCAACGCAGCTTCAGCGTGGGCCCAGCATGAGCGCAGGCTCTGTGCATTGCGAAGCAGCCCCGCCCTAGTGTTTGTCCGGCTGTTTCCCTTCCCTGGCCCCGGCAGCGGAGCCAGGGGTCGGCTTGTTTTAGGAGGGTAGGGGTCCTTGGTGCAGAAGAGCCAATGGAGCCTTGGGGTCAGTGGATCAGGCCACCAAGCAGAATGTTCCAGAATGTTCTGACGGGACGCAGGGCCCAGGGAGGGAGGAGTTGAGAGGAAAGGATGGATTTCAGGCAGACTTGGGTTCAAATCTTGCCCCCGCCACTTTGCAGCGGTCAGCAAGTCTGGACAACATAGTTAAATGCTCAGGACTTCAGCTTGCTCTTTGGTAAAGTGGGCGGTGGCCTAGTTTTAAGGCTTAAATGAGATGGTTAAGGAAAATAGATTTCAATGAGCCAGTGAAGGTAGTCAATCCAGGCTATATGATTTAGGGACCATGGGCATTTTCTAGAAGGCAAGATTTCTGCCATACCTGTACTGTTCTTGTACTTGCATTTGTGACTGAGCTAGCGGTGCATGGTAAGGAAAGAGGCCACAGGCAGAGGCTGTGCACCTCATTTGGCTAAAACAAGACTAGTGAAGCCAAACCCAGAGAGGGTGCACCCTCCTCTCTGCCAGTCCTCCTGGCTTGGGGCTAAGCCCGAGGCGTCTCTGCTCGGAAATAGTGCAGTGTGCCATTGACTCAGTCGAGGCTTTATCATAGCACCTCCATGCTGGTGCTGACCCCAAGCCCAAGTCCCTACACCACACGTCACAGCCAACTCTTGCCCCTCTCCCCCAGTTTCTCAGCATATCCACCAGGATTTTTTTTTTTTGGCCTTTTCATTGCCCCTGCCCCATCTTCAGACTCTTAGGCTCCCTACAGAGGCCAGAAAGGAAGGGTCATCTGGCTTCCCTTTGGAAAGACACCAAGTCAGTATTATATCTTTGATCCCATCCCCAATAGACCCCTCTCCAAACGCCAATTCCGTCCCTGCTGGTTTCATTCTCCCTGAAGGGTTTTACGGCGCTTGTCTAAATATCAGGTTTTGCTCGGAAGCCGAGGTCCATGAGGGTCCATGAGGGTCGGTGTGTGTGTGTGTATGTGTGTGTGCGTGTGTGCTTAGTTGGGGATCTGTCTGTCCGTCCAGGGCCCAGAAGACGTACCGTACCTGGCTGCTTTCCGAGTGAGCTCCAGTGGGAAATCGGGGCACAGCAACTGCAGCAAACAGTGGTACTCTTTCATGGTCAGCAGATCTGGAGGGGAATGGAGAGACACACGTCAGGCCCCTCGCTGGCCTTGGGGGGATTGCACTTTGACACTCTTGTCAGTCTTACGTGTGTGCGGGCCGCTGACCCCGTGGGGGTGGGGTGGGGTTGGTGACCACTACATCAGTGTCGCTCTTTTTGGGTGGGAGGCACCCAGACTGCGACACTCGGGCCCAGGACGCTTCGCTGACCTGAGAGAAGGGGGAGCAAGGCTGGCCTGCGCAGGAACTAAGTAAGCACAGGCTGACTTCTTAAACTTCAGCGAGCAATTTTACACACTTTCACCACATCAAAGATTCTGTGTCTACTTTGGCTGGCATCTCCCTCCCCACCAGGCCTCCGGACCCCTAACCACAGAACGAAAGCCTCTTCAAATGCCCGGTTCCTGAGGGGCAGGAACGAGGGGGGGGGGGGGGGGCGCAGAGGAGCAGTCAGCAAGGCGAGCATGGCCATCCTCTGCCCATTTACTACTCTGCCAACTGAGAGACAGACTGACGGCACCCCATGCAACACTGTTCCCTGCAGAGTAGTAAGCAAGCAAGCTCATGGGTGCTCATGCTTACTTTGCTCATTCGATAATCCCACACCGGGACTAGGCGGAGAGGTCACCCAAAGACCTTTTATCCTGTCACCCAGGGCTGCAGCCGTCTGGCTTCCTTTGGATGCCTGCACACAAACCTAGCCATCCTGTGACAGGAAGCCGAGAGCCCAGGTCCACGATACACAAGCAAGGCGACCAAATGCTTCCTGATGTCCGTGGAGCAGCAGTGCTTGGGACCCACAGAGAACCCGGAGAGGCAGCTTTCAGGGAGGCTGTTTGGTTATTGCAGGTTCTACAGCCAAGAGCGTTTAGATTATCCCCAGTATTTCAAATACGGAACGACATGCCAGTAGGAAAGAGACAGCAGGCAAACCCAAAGCCCTCCGTGGCGGGAGGAGGGCGAGTGGGAGAAGGGAAGCCAGAGGGCATGGCCACATTTGGGGGATGAAGATGATGATCATGGGCACTGGGTTTCTTTGGACCTAAGTTAGCCCAGGCCACAGGAATCCAGATCCCGCTTGCCTCTGCGAGTTCGGTTGATGCTGTTCCAGGACGAAAACCCCAAGCCCCTAGGGGTGGGCCTGAGTTCCTTCTGCTTTCTCATCAAAGCCCAAGTCAAGGTGGAGGCAGAGAGTTAGAGGAACCACACTGCCAAAGTCAGGGACACCACAGCGAGTGCTTGGGCGTCAGTGTCGGTCAAAGGATCAGGGTGGCTTGTGGCCTTCGTCTTGGCCACGGTGGGGTGTGCACCTTCCTTCTCCTCGCGGAGCCTCTGTTCACCAGGGGATGGTGCGACAGCCACTCTGGCCCCACAGATTGGGGGTGAGGAGTGGAGAAGGGAAAGAGAAGGGAGAAAAATGCCGCCGTCTAAAGCGTTCTCATTTTCGTCTCACTCTAGAGAGGGAAAAAAGATCTATCTCTGGATCAGCAGGGCTTTTCTGGGTTGAACTTCACTCGATGTATCTGATACTGTTCTTAGGGAGTCAAAGCATTTCACAGGAATTCACACTTATCCCCACAAAATTGCCTCGGGAAATGAAATCCTCACACCACTGCGGTTAAGTGGAACTCTAGCCACCCTGTATCAGGTTTCTAAGATGGCAAATCTTTACAGGAGTAGACAGCCTCGGCTTTCTCCCACGGAGTGGCTGGTCAGTTTGAACTGCTGACCCTGTGGTTAGTAGACCAATGGTAAGCCACTATACCCTTGGGACTCCTTTGAGGAAAATAAACAGGGCAAAGGAAAATGAGCAGCCTGGAGACTTGTGTCGTCACCACACTCACTCAAGAGATACACTGCCAGGAATCCAACTTCACCCTTCTGTAAGGTGACCAGATGTCCCGCTTTTGGTGGGACAGTCGCGATTTTTGGAAAGAATGTACGACAAGCTAGGGTATACGGTTTTTGGCTGCCATGTGGCTATTTCGCCAGGATCTGAGTTTTATCGATGGTGTCCTGCTTTTGTCCCGCTTTACCAATGTTAAAATCTGGTCACCTTACCCTTCTGGTGCCCAGACTCTAGTTCCTCTTTGAGTCCTGGTCATAACCCTCCATCACATACTTGACATGCTTGCTTCTTGAGGGCAGAAGAACCATTGAGAAACATCACCCTGACTTCTCTGATGCAACGAGAGGCCCTCCAAAATCCTCAACACAGACTACATCTTGCCCATCGCTGTTGGGTCCTGATTCTGTAAAATGTCAAGCAGGATGAAGGGCAGGTGACGAGGTGGATGAGAGTGCAGCAAGTAGACGTTCCCACCGTGACTGTGCAAGACAGCAGTGGTACGTCTACAAGAGCCAGAGCGGCCGGCCTTTGGAAGCCCAGATGACTTCCAGGAGAGGCATCTACCACATGGAGACACTCCTTGTTTGGTGCTGAAGGGGGCATTTGGGAGAATGGCAAGTGGAAAGACTTGTTTCAAAATCCGAACACTGGTGAGCAAAGGGGAGCTTCCTCCTGCCCCACAAAGTTCAACTCTTGGCTCTGCATTTCACCTGGTTTATAGGGGGGGGGGGCATGTGGCTCACCTCCAAGTTTCAGTCCTTGTCTGCAAGATGAGAATGATACGTTTCTACTTCTCAGGGTTGAGACCAAGATTCAGAGAGGATGTCTAACGCTAGAAGGGAGAAGAATGGCAGAAGAGGAGAGGAGAGAAGAGGAGGGGGGTCTTTTGAGCTTAAACACCTAGAAGAGTTCTGCCTGGAGATTCTGTCACGTTTCTTGAACCCAACCCATTCCATTTCTGAAACCTGTCTGCAGTATCCATGCATCCATCCATCCATGTGGTCAGTCTTGCTCTTTGGCCCATCAAGTCCAGACACAGGAGTCACGGTGATAAGACAAGCCAGCAGACTCTTGATGCCCGAGGCTTAGATGCAGGCATTAGCAACCCCTAAAAATTCTGGCTACTTCAGGCCCTCTGGCTCAGAGAGCTCCCCTCAACCTCCTTCCAGGCATGCCTTCGGACTGCTGGAACAACACTGCTGGAAGAATCTCCTCGCTGAGCTCCCTGCACGGGACTGAAGCTCTCACCGGACCTTCACAACAACCTTACAAAGTAGCTTCCATTAAGCACAGGCCCGTTTTCCAGGTAATGACATGGAGGCTTCTAGAAGTGAAATAAGCCAGTACGTGAAGAGGTGTGTGTGTTGGCCGGGGGAAGGGGAGCTAGAGGCTAGGGTACCTGGCTCCTCAGAACAAGATCACAGGGTGGGAGAGAAAGAAGGGGTTGAGGGATAGAGGGGCTGAATGATGATAATTGGGCTCATATTTACTGAGCACTTATAAGGGGTCGTGTTTCCATGGCTATCTCATCGAATCTTCAGTTATTCGCCCCACTTCATGGACACAAAAACTCAGATCGTGCACACGGAGGATGTGGAACTAGACTTCAAATCCAGGAAGTGTGAACCCAAAGTTTACTCAACTAACATTTCCAGCAGCTCTGTATTATCAACCATAATGGGTTGAGGCTTAAGAGTTTGTCCCCCACCCTCACTTCTCATGCAAACAAACTGCAGGAACTAAATAGCTCCAGGTGAACTGGATCAAGGAGGCAATTCAAGTGAGAGGCGTGTGTGTGTGTGTGTGTGTGTGTGTGTGTGTATTTAATGTAAGATACTGAGTCGGAAAGGTTTAATTACTGCCAACAAGAAAGACCTGCAGCTCCAGAGCCAGCGCACTGTGCTGCTAGGGCTGGAGGGACTGGGTGGGGGACAAGTACGCTTGTGCTGGTGGCACCACCACCAGTCCCCATGTGTCTCCTTGTACCCCCTCCTCCCCGCCTGGCAGCCAGCAAGTGCGGGGGAGGTAAAATGGTGTGCACCAACAGACACCTCCTCCAAAGGAGCCCCCCTTCTCAGGAAAGCTTCAGCTAGCTGGCCTGGAAGTCCTATGCCAAAGATGTAAGGGATTTTGAGACAAGACCAAAATCAGAATCTTCACCACAAACGGGCGCGGCTCTCTCTGTGAGTGAATTTGCATCAGCTCCGACACCTAGCGCCCAATGATGAAGATGAAACACTGCCGCGTCCCATGCCGTCCTCACGGCTGTGATGCTTGAACCTACTGCTGCAGCCACGGGGCTAATGCGTCTTGTCGAGGGTCTCTGTCTTTTACTCTGACCCCACTTTAGCAAGCATGATGTCCTTCTCCAGGGCCTGCTGTCTGCTTTTAGCATGCACAAAGTATGTGACATCAACCTTGCCAGTCTCACATCTACGGCGCATTCTGGCTGCACTTCTAAAGCAGGCTTGTTTGCGCAGGCAGTCCATGGTACTGTCTACGGTCTTCACCAGCCTCACCATTCAGAGGCACCCATTCTTCTCGGGCCGTCCTTGCTCACCGCCCAGCTCTCACAGGCATGGGAGGCAACTGAAAAGACCCTGCCTCGGGTCCGTCCCACCTTGGTCCTCAAAGTGACAGCAAACTCCTTGACCTTTCATTTCTCTGTGCCTCCGCTATGCAATAGGGTAACAGCCTTGTGGTGAGCCAAGTGTAAAGTATCCAGTGTTCTGTTGGCATCTGCGGCTACTACTTTAGAAAGGGGCCCAGAGAGGTTAATCACTTTCTCCAGGAAACAACTTGTGAGAGGAGGGCGGGCCTAGGAGTCCGATTTAAGTCTGGCTCCGAAGGTCCTTCCAGTTTCACTCCGGCAGGAGGGAGCCAGCTGCTTTGTGGAGGACTGGCCTCGGAGAGAGGACTGTTCACAGCCAGGTGATTGCCGACGAGATCTAAGTGGCACATACAGATGCCCTTCAGGGACGTCCTGGAACGGGGTGGGCAGTTGTATGAGTGCAGAGCCCAGGCTTTCAGTGAGATGACCTGGCTCCACCACCACCAGCCCCGCTGCGGAGCAGTCAGACAAAGGCTCCAAGACTTGGTTTCCTCAGCTGAGAAGTGGGAGGGACAATGGACCACCTAGGGGAAACGTGGTTAAAAGA